TATAAGTGAGATCATACAATATTTGCCCTTTTGTGATTGACTTCTTTCACTCAGCATAATGTCTTCCAGCTCCATTAATATTATGGCATGTAATAAGACTTTATTTCTCCTTCTGGCTGAGTAGCATTCCATTATATGCATGTACCACATTTTGTTTATCCAATCATCTGTTGATACACATTTGGGTTGTTTTCACTTTCGGGCTATTGTGAACACCTGCGATTAACGTTGGCGTACAAGTCTCTGTTTGAGTTTCTGCTTTTAAGTCTTTTGGGTATATACCTAGGAGTGGAATTACTGGGTCTTATGGTAGTTCTATTTTTAATTTTTTGAGGAACTGCCACACTGTTTTCATAAGGGCTGTACCATTTTGCATTCTCACCAGCAATGGGTAAGGGTTCCAATCTCCCCACATCCTTGCCAACATTTGTTATTTATTTTTTATCTTAGCCATCCTAGTGGGAGTGAAATGGTATCTCATTGTGGTTTCGATTTGCATCTCTCTGATGGCTAATGATGTCGAGCATTTTTTCATGTGTTTGGTGGCCATTTGAATTGTCCTCTTTGGTAAAAAGTCTAGTCAAGTATTTTGTCCATTTTATGATTGGGTAATTTGTCTTTCTGTTTGTAAGTTGTCGAAGTTTTAAAACATATTATGCACCTACAGTAATCAAAACAGCACGGTACTGGTATAACAATAGACACAAAGACCAAGGGAATAGAATTGGGAGTCCAGAAATAAACCCACACATCTATGGTCAATTGATTTTTGACAAGGGTGCTAAGTCCATTTGATGGGGAAAGAAGAGTCTCTTCAGTAAATGGTGTTGGCAAAACTGGATTTCCACGTGCAAAAAAATGAAACAGGATCCATGTCTCATATCACACACAAAAACAAATTCAAAATGGATGAAAGACCTAAATGTGCAAACTAAAACCATGAAATTCTTAGAAGAAAATACAGGGGCAATGCTGTCAGGCCTAGCTTTTAACAATGGATTATCTAATATAATAACAAAAACACAAACAGCAAAAGACAAAATAAATAAATGAGACCTCATAAAAATTAAAAACTTTTGTTCATCAGAAGACTTTACCAAAAAAGTGAAAAGACAAGCTACCAACTGGGAAAGTATCTTTGGAAACCAAATGTTATGAATTGAATTGTGTCCCCCAAAAATGTGTGTCAACTTGGCTAGGCCATGATTCCCAGTATTGTGTGATTGTCCACAATTTTGTCATCTGATGTGATTTTCCTGTGTGTTGTAAATCCTACCTCTATGATGTTAATGAGGCAGGATTAGAGGCATTTATGTTAATGAGGCAGGATCCAATCTACCAGATTAGGTTGTATTTTGAGTCAATCTCTTCTGAGATACAAAATAGACAAGCGAGTAGAGAGACAGAAGGACCTCACACCACGAAGAAAGCAGTGCCAGAGGCAGAGCACATCTTTTGGACCCAGGGTCCCTGCGCTGAGAAGCTCCTAGACCAAGGCAAGATTGATGACAAGGACCTTCCTCCAGAGCCGACAGAGAAAAAAAGCCTTCCCCTGGAGCTGGTGCCCCGAATTCAGACTTCTAGCCTCCTAGACTGTGAGAGAATAAACTTCTGTTTGTTAAAGCCATCCACTTGTGGTATGTCTATTATAACAGCAACAGATAACTAAGACACCATATATCCAATAAGAATCTAATAACAAAAATATATATAAAACTTTGACAACTTAACAACAAAAAGACAAATAGCACACAGAGTTTTCACTGGCTGATAGTTTCAGAAGTAGATTGCTGGGCCTTTCTTCCTGGTCTTAGTCTGGAAGCTCTGCTGAAACCTGTTCAGCATCACAGCAACACGCAAGCCTCTACTGACAGACAAGCAGTAGCTGCACTTGAGGTGCGTTGGCAGGGAATCAAACCCGGGTCTCCTGCACAGAAGGTGAGAATTCTACCACTGAACAGCCACTGCCCCCATCCTAACACTTACACTATATGAAACTGATTGCTGCCTTGTCTGCCTCCCTCTGAGAGAACAGGGACCCGAACTGTCTGATTTCTCACTGTTCCCCAGCAGCAAAGGCCAGCTCCTGGAGGCAGCAAGGTTGTGCAGTAGACACTTGTTAAGTGAGCACATGAATGAACAAGGTGCCATTTATATATATAGCAAGTGTTCAATGAGTAAATGGCACAGTGGAGCATCCGACTATCCAACTGTTAGAGCCATACAAATCGCAGAGACATTTTCATCTTTAAAGTTCTTTATTCCCAGCAGTTCACATCAGTTACTCACCGAGCAAGCGCTCATCATATTAACCAAGAATTCGTTCATCTTTCCTTTGATATTATAATCTTGTCTTCACGTCCAAAGCTAGGTTGGGCCCAAAGGGTTAAAGAGGTCTCACTTCATCACAAGGAACAAGGGACCCTTGTGAATCAGTCTTCAACTTCTGGAAGTCTTGCTCGGTTCAGAGGCAAATACCTTCGCAAGTTTAGCGTGTGGCAGCCCAACAGTGAAATAACTAAGACACAGTGCAGTGGTTCTAGGCATTTGGGAGAAACAAGGCACATTACACAGATTCCCCTGGAGAAAATTCAGGCCATTCTCCATCTCCTCTATATGCATTTTCTCACCCTTCAGTGACTTTTAATCTCATCCCCTAGCCTATGAGAAACCATAACCCATGTGTTACTGAATACATTTTTATTCTCCCTTCATGAGATAGGCTTGGTTCCAAGTATTTTTCAGTTCTCTCCCTTATGCCTAGAAGAACATCCTATTTCACTCAGGTCCCTTTTAATGGCACTTAATAAATATACATTCTGGGGCCTGACAGAATAGGCTGTCCTATTTCAAACCTCCTCTAAAGCTGCCTGTCTAGCAGAGGCCTTTCGAAACAGTACAAAGCTCAAACCAAGCACATTAGAGCTTATAGCTCCCAGCTGTCTCTGAGCTCGGGACTCTTCCGCCACTGCATCTCTAGGGCAGAGGTTCATACCCCTGACCACACATTGGAACCCCCTGGGGAGCCTTCTAAATTCCCACAGCCCGGGCCACGCCCCCGACCATTACATCAGGATTTCTAGGGGCTGGGGCTGGGGGTCCTGGCCCAGTCACCAGCTCTCCTGGTGACTGCAGTGAGCAGCCAAGTTGAGAACCACAGAGATAGAGCCCACCACCGTGCCAGCACACAGTAGGCTCTCGGTATTTGTGGACCCACAAATGGGTCTCCTATTTTATTATCTGCTCCACTACGCTTCTTACTTTTATAAGAAATCTAAGCAGGAAAGAGAAGGGAAAATGAAACAAGAGCATCTTGTAAAGCGAGTTTGGAGCTGGGAAAGGGATTGTGAGACTGGGTTTCTCTTGCATTATGCTGAGTGTTCATGTTTTAACAAGCCCAGAGGAGGGAAGCAACTGACTGTCTGACACAGACATGTATATAATTCTTAAAAGCCCTTCAAAAACCAGAGCTAACAGCTTTAGGCACTGCAGTTATAACACAATAACACTGAAATGTGCTTGGAAACAAATCTAAACTGCCACCTGTTTTTACATACACACTAACGTGGGTTGGTTTCAAACTTTGTCATTTATATTAACATCACATGTGATCACCTTTTCTCCCTTCTGTGAATTTTGCAATGACTCTTAGTACAAAGCAACAACATAGAAATGAGGTTCCACCAGTGGCTGCACCCGAAAGTGCCCCAATGGGTCGGTCTTCCTTAAACAGGGGACTTCAACGGGCTTCAATTTCCAGGTTCTAAGAAGGGATGGACAATAGGTTTGATCTCACCGAGTTCAAGAGATGGGCTATCTAGAATAAAGTATTGAGAAGGATCCTGAGGGGGAACCAGGGTTTATGGGAAAGGACACTATATTGATTAATAATGTCTGTTGTGGGCATGGAAATGGAGGTGGCAGCATGAATGCTTCCAGTTGCCAGCCTGGGCCAACTACCAATGGTAATCGACATTGATATCACATCTCACGATTTACAAGGAGCCTCCACATCCTTAGCCTCAAGTCAATCTCACCACAGCCCTGGGAGTTAGGACTTCACGGATGGGAAAACTGAGGTTGTGTCATATGTCTAAGCCCCCACAGCCAAGGACACCATGTCCACTGCTGCTCCCAGGCCCTAGTTGGCTCCAGGAACTACCCAGGATTCCACCTGGCTCTCCTTCTACCGGGAAACAGGAAACCAAGGCATTACTTAACCTCCCCCACCCACTACACCTTTAATTATCTACTTCACAGAGCTTCCTCTATGATTTGCATGCTGCTTGGTCCCTAGTCCAGAGAACACAGCTACAGCGTGTAACTGCCGCCAACAGCCTCAGGCAGTCCACCTAATGTACCCAGAAAATCCCTTCTTCGCTGGTGCAGCCTCTGCATATGCCCACACACATTCCAGAACTGTGACTTGATCACACTCCCTCCCAGGGCCCAGCCAAGAGTCTCCTGGGAGCCCTGCCACCCCACTGACAAATCCAGAGCTCCCCCTGGAGAGCGCCCAGGGGTTCACCGCTGAGACAACTCAGCTCCCAGCATGGAGGAATCATAGATGGCTGCTGAGCTATGGTGTCTCCTGACACCACCTCTAGGAGGTAGTTCTCTACTACCCCTGCAACCACACAGCAGACAGGTAACCTTCACCTGGGTGGCCCACTCCCATGAACAGGCCTGGATGGGGGTACAGGTAAGATTGGCCAGAAGCTGTATGTACACCCTGGCTAATCGGCTGTGACCTGCCATCCAGGGTATGGTGACCCCAAGATGCGACCACTTCTTTATGTACTAATGAGTGGTCCTGGCTGGAGCCCTGGGAACACCACAGAGCCTTTAATACCCACCCCTGCCAGGGACTCTGGAAGGTCCACTCACCTCCTCTGGCTGCCTTCTGGGTGCCCTTCACTCCACCCCAGCCTGATCTCCTCTTCCACCCCTGCCTTTTCTTTGCTTCCTTTCCCTCCCAGATCACAGCCTCTGGGCATCCCCCATTCCTCTGGCAATGTGGGCTCCAAGACTGGCATCTAAGAGGGTAGTCTCCAGCCCCATGGAGCTGGGCTTGGGGCCCTGGCCAGGAAGCTGGAGGGCACATAGCCTCTCTGTCCGTTCACATCTACAAGACTCCATTCCGGGTTCCCCTTCTTGTCCTGGGCCTCCAGGACAGTCACCGGCTGGCCTGCCTGCAGACTCACTTCATGGCTGCTTCTGGCCACAAAGGGGTACACTGCCACCACCTGAAACACAAGGGGAACAACACTGAGATGGCCAGGCCAGCAGACAGACAAACCCAACCTGGAGATGTTTGTCCCATTCCCCCTACCTGACTCTGGTCCCCACTGCTGGCCATGCATCGCCTCCCAAGTTCATCCACTGTGCTACAGACAAGGACTACTTCTGCTACTGCTGTGGCTCATACTGACTATGTGGCAGGACTGTTCTAGCACTTGACCTGGTTTGGGTTTTTACAACAATGCTGTAATTCTACTTGCCCCATTTTTTCATATAAAGGAATTGAGACTCAGAGAAGTCAAGGAACTGACCCAAAATCACACAGCAGAACTAGAACGTGAACCTAGGCCTGTCTGACCTCAGGATGAGGGCCCCTGATCCTTTGGTGCCATCTCAGTGAGCAGAGAACTCACACCCTTTCCCTCCGCAGATCTAAGGATTCCACTTGCCCAGGCCAGTTTCTCAGCTTGGAGGAGAGATGGGGGTTGGGTGACTTGGTTACTATTTAGGGAAAGGCATTGAACTGGAGAAAAAAATAGGAACCGGGACATTTATTAGGCTAATATAGAACCTCTCTGGGCCTCAGTTTCATCATCTGCAAAATGGAAGCAATGATATTCTCCCTCCGGCTAGTTGTAGGAATTGAATGAATGAATGAAAGCATGTGGAGGGCTTCACATAGTGCCTGGTACATAGTAAGGGCTCAGTAAATGCAGGCTGCTTTTATTATTTTTATTATTTACCATTATTACTACTAGCGAAGCCTCAGGAACAATAAGGATCGAGGAGGAGTTAGGAAGGCCCCATGAACAAAGAGGAGGCAGCTGTTGTGTTTGGGTAAATGGACAGCTGTGCCAAGGTGAGAGGAGAAGGCACAGGAGTTTCTGCCACACCCCCGGGTGATGCTGCAGCTCACGGGACCCCAGGGCACTGCACCACTGTCTGAAGGCGGGCCCCAGCTCTCTCCCTTAGTTCTGTATCTTCCCTGCTCCCGCTGATGGGCAAAGGCAGGACAGAGCAGCATGTACACCAGCCCCCACAGCACCCAGAGCGGGCAGCAGAGAGGCGACCTGGCTCTTCCTTCCCATGTGAGCCCCTGATGGGGGCTCCCAGAGACACCCCCACATTGGCTGGCGCTGGGTGGCAGGGGCAACCTAATTCCCTTCCCCAGAGAGGCTGGGGCTAGGGCTAGGGCTGGGGCTGGGTGAGGTGGCCATGACTTCTGGGGGAATCTTGTGTGTCTCTGCCGAAAGGGTGGGAATGACCAGCAGGACACTGCCCTGAGAACCTTTCAGGGGTGTGGCACATGCTGGCCAGGGCTTCTGCTGGCATCCATGCAGACCCCAATGGCAGCACGTTCCAGGCTTCTCAGCTACCCGGCCTGAGGCATCCCACAGCAGCCAGTCCTCACCGCCTCTGGCTCCCTATCTGGGTCATTTCTATTGCTCATCCATCACCTCTGAAGCTCCTCCTTTACTGCTGTTCATATGATGGCAGTCTCCATTTATTGAGGTTTACAATATGTCCAGCCCGGCTCTAATATCTCATCCAAGCCCCACACTCTCCACTGAGTGTCTTCCCCGCTCAAGGACCCCATTCCTGCAATGCCAAACCCTTAATGGCTTCCCATCCCTTTTTTTTTAACTGAGATATAATTCACAGACGAAGAAATTCACCCTTTATACAATTCAGTGGTTTTTAGTATGTTCACAAGGTTGTGCAACTATCACTACTATTTAGTTCCAGACCGTTTTCATCATCCCAAAAGGAAACCCCATACCCATTAATAGTCGCTCCCCATTCCCTCCTCCCCCAGACCCTGGCAACCACTAATCTCCTTTCTGTTTCAATGCATTTGTCCACTCGAGACATTCCATATAAATGGTTTGTGACTGGCTTTTTTCACTTAACATAATGTTGTCAAGTTTCATCCATGTTGTAGCATTTATCAGTACTTCATCCCTTTTAATGGCCAAATAATATTACATCCAAGTCCCAGGGTGGTGCAAACCGTTAACATGCTTAGCTGCTAACTGAAGGGCTAGAGGTTCAAGTTCACCCAAAGGTTCCTTGGAAGAAAATCCTGGCAATCTACTTCCAAAAAATCAGCCATTGAAAATCCTACAGAGCACAGTTCTGTTCTGACATACATGGGATCACCATGAGTCAGGGTCAACTTGATGGCAACTGGTTTTTCAATATTCCATTGTGTAGATAAACCAGATTTTGTTGATCCGTTCACTTGTTGATGGACATTTTGGTTGTTTCCACTTTGGGGCTATTATGAATAGCGCTGCTATGAACAATGTGTACAAGTTTCCCTTGTGGGCCTGGCCTCGCCTCCTCTCCAGCAGCATCCTGCTCCACGCTGCCCCTTGCCCTTCCCCAGCCAAACCAGCTTCCGTCAGTTCCTCACACAGCCCTTGTCTTTCCTGCCACTGGGCCTTCACATGTGCTGTGCATACTCTCTGGAAAACTCTTCCCGTCTTTATACCAGCACAGCGCCTTCACCAAATTAATTCCTATGCACTGGTTGTATCTGAGAAACAGAAATATTCTTCTTAGAAAAACCACTCATGAACCTCTCCTACACTTGGGCTGTAGCACTTATTATTGCTATGACTTGACAATTATTCATGTGATTATTTGATTAATCACTGTGTTCCCCCATGCCCAGAATTAAAAATTTGAGGAAGGCAAGGACTATGATTTACTTTTTCTCATCATTATGTCACTCAAAGCACACTGCCTGGCCAATACTGAATGAATGAATAAACAAAGGAATCCCACTTGCCCTGCTGGTTAGGGGAGGCTGCTCGAGGGCCTAGCTCTTTACTGTTGGTGCAACAGGGGAAACTACATTGAAATCTACACCAAGATCCATTTCTCTTGGTCTCACCCCTGGTCAAGGAGCCCTGGTAGTGCAATGGTTAAGCACTCAGCTGCTAACCAAAAAGTCAGCAGTTCGAACCTACCAGCACCCCCACAGAAGAAAAGATCTGGCAATTTGCTTCTATAAAGACTGTTGTTGCTATGTGCTGCCAAGTTGGTTCTGACTCATAGCGACCGTACAGGACAGAGTAGAACTGCCCTATAGCATTCCAGGGAGTGGCTGGTGGATTCGAACTGCCAATCTTTTGGTTAGCAGCCCAGCTCTTAACCACTGCACCACCAGGGCTCCCTCATAAAGATTACAGCCTTGGAAACCCTATGGCGCAGTTCTACTCCACTCTGTAGGGTCGCTATGAGTCGGAATCGACTCGATGGCACACACCACCACCACCACTCCCCTGGTCAGGACACTGGTCCTCCAGATAGGAGGACGGTCCACCTGACAGAGGAAGAAAACCAAAGCCCCAGTACAAGGAGCCATGGGAGTCACACTCCACCCCCTGCCAGACTCACCTGGGTCATGTTTGGGACAGAGGCAACTGGGGTCAGGGTAGGCTCTGGCGTTAGATGTCGGGAATCCTTGCATGGCCCTGCCTGCCTCCTGAGCTCCTCTCCACTGGGGGCGACATGGTACAGCTCCAGTTTCCCGGCCGGAACGTACCCCCGATGTCCTAAGGGACATGCAGAACGTCATTCTGTTGTAAGCCATCTTCTCCATCCCTTTTAGTGGTAGAGGCAGTTAATGGATGCACATATCACCAACACAGCTTCTCAGTACTAAAGAGGAGCAGGAAAGGTCCTCTAGGAACCTCACAAACCATCCCCCTTCCCAGCACTTACTGTTTCTGGTTTCTGCTTGTGCACCCCCAGTGACAGGGGGCTCGTTCCCCACAAAGGCAGTCCGCTCCATTCTGAACAGTTCTGACAGAGACAGACGGCTCTTGCTTAGACTAATGTGAAATCTGCTTTCCTGGTGCTGGCGCCACTGGCCTCCACGCTCCTCTAGTGGTCACTCAGAGCAAGGCCTTTCCTCTCCCTGGGACAACCTTGCTCTTCTCCTAGTGCCCCCCGATTCTATTGCAGCAACTACTAGTGTTGTTCTGGTTGCTATCCTTATGAATCGTTATCTGAGAGCTTGCTAGGTGCAGGGACCGGCATTTAAGTATCTAGTCTTCATATCAACTCTTGAGGGTAGTATTGTTATCTCCATTTTATGGTTAAGCCAAGAGGTGAGAGAGGCCCCGAACCTTCCTCAAGATCGTGCAGTTAGTACAGCTATAGGACTGGGATTCAAACCCAGTCTCTTGACCCCAGAGGCCTAGCCTTGAATCCCCATTCCACTATTTCCCCAACTTGACTCATGAGCATTCCCTTTGTGATTTCTGACTGATTTGTACTGTTTAATTTTTAATGGGCCCACTTCTAAAAATTTAGTCCTGTACTATTCAATCATATGAATAAAATTATGGGTTTGTGGACTGGTTATGTATTTTTTCTAAAACACATTAAGATACCTAAGTAACAATTGTAATAAAAATTGTCTATAGGGGGGAAATGAGTCCCTGAGTAGTGCAAAGGAGCCCCTGAGTGGCACAGTTAAGCCCTGGGCTACTACCAAAAGGTTGACGGTTCAAACCCACTCTCCTCTAGAAACACCTTAGAAGAAAGGCCTGGCAATCTGCTTCTGAAAGGTCACAGCCAGGAAAACCCTATGGAGGGCAGTTCTGCTCTGAAACACATAGGGTCACCATGAGTCAGAAACGACTCAGTAACAACTGGTTTGGTTTTTGGTTTGGGTGGTGCAAATGGTTAACATGCTTGCTGCTAACCAAAAGGTCAGAGGTTAGAGTCCACCCAAAGGTACCTCAGAAGAAAGGTCTAGTGATCTACTTCCAAAAAATCAGTCATTGAAAACTCTATGGAGCACAGTTCTACTCTGATTCACATGGGGTCACCACAAATCGGAGCTGACAACAGAAAGTGGCTTGGTTTTTGGTTTATAGGAGGAAAAACTGTCTATGGATCCTCTAACAATAATCCTGTGTAACACTCATTTTGTGGGTCACATGCCCCACTTTGGAAAACATTCCGCTAGGCCTCACAACCATCTCCTCCTGGGGTTCATGGTGCCCCCTTGCCTCCAGGTCTGCCACACTGGTGTACCCACACCTGAGCAGCAGCACACTCCAAGAGCATGACCAGTGTACAAGGGCAGGATAATCACCTCCCTCATTCTGGATATCAGACTTCTATTAATGTAGCCACCACCCAAAACTCCCTTCTCTGTACATATCTCCTCCATCTTTCAGGGTGATGTTGAATTTCTCTCCTTCTATGTCTCTTCATAACAGTCTGTGAGGTCTCCAAAGCAGGGTGCTCATCTTACTTGCACAGAGCCCAACACACAGTAGGTGCTTGATAATGAATGCTGCAGTAAAAGACTGAGTCCTCCCCATGTCCTCCCACTGGCTTCTGTTGGGTGGTTTCCCAGAGCGAAAGGAAGGGCCCACCAGGTCCCACACGTACCCCCAGTGTCCACCAGCCAGCGGCAGCTGTTGCCTTTAGTGTCCTTGTTTTGAAGGAGGGCCACAATTTGGCCCCGAGGCAGTGTCAGGTCCAGAGTCCCAGCCCCGCTGATGCTGCTTGTGACCTGGAACAGCCTCCTGGGGCCATACTTGCTAAGGAGGGCCTGCACCTGGTGTTCAGCCCCTGGAAGTAGTGGCTGGGGAGGGGAAGGAGAGAGACAGACACAAATGCTCAGGTTAGCATGTCAAAGCCAGCACCGATGTTTGCCCACATACTGAGAACTAGGAGTCCTGGGCCCAGTCCTACCTCTGCAGTTGATGGGCTGTGTGACCCCGAGCAAGGGCCCATCCTGACTAGAGCAACAGTTCCCTCGCTAGTAGATGGTTAGATCAGATGAGAAATACATGCTCTTAGTATCTGTTATAAGTAGCCCTGGTGGTGCAATGGTTAAGCACTCAGCTGCTAACTGAAAGGTTGGTGGTTTGAACCCACCAGCCACTCTGCAGGAGAAAAGACCTGGTGATCTGCTCCCATAAAGATTACAGCCTAGGAAACCCTATGGGGCAGTTCTATTCTGTCCTATAGGGTCGCTATGAGTCGGAATAGACTCAACAGCATGCACCAAAAGGTGTGCATCATGGTTGTATCCTTTCGCCATCCTTATTCAATCTGTATGCTGAACAAATACTCCAAGAAGCTGGACTATATGAAGAAGAACGTGGCATCAGGATTGGAGGATGAGTCATTAACAACCTGCGATATGCAAATGATACAACCTTGCTTGCTGAAAGCAAACAGGATTTGAAGCACTTACTGATGAAGATCTAAGGCTACGGCCTTCAGTATGGATTACACCTCAACATAAAGAAAACAAAAATTCTCACAACCGGATCAATAAACTGGCAACAACGGGCTCAAACACAGCAACAATTGAGAGGACAGTGCAGGACCAGGTCGTGTTTCGTTCTGTTGTACACAGGGTTGCTATGAGGTGGAGCCAACTTGACTGCTCCTAACAACAAGGTGTTGAATGTGGGGTGTTAGGCAAAGGTGGCCTTCAGGGACATCCGGGCAGGGACTCTGAAATTTCCCCCATCCCAAGGTGGACACCAAGGCAGGATCAAGAACCAAGAGAGATTGATGTCTCTAAATAGGCCCTTAAACAGAAGCGCAGAGACTGTTGGGGAAGGTTTTGTTCAGAACTGTGGTGTTAGCCTGAGTATAAAGGCCAGTGGAGAACAAACATTTGCCTTTTTTCTCAAGTCTGGCAGGCCCCTACCTGTGCAGAGAACAGCAGTGCCCCCTGGAGGAACCCCAGAGGAAGCATGTGAAGATATCATCAGGGCTGCTCCTGTCCTGAGTGGCCACCTCACTTCTGCTGGGTTCTGCGTTGTTGTTATTGTGAGGTGCCATCGAGTCTATTTCAACTCCTAGTGACTCCATATGACAGAGTACAACTGCCCCATAGGGTTTCCTTGGCTGTAATCTTCACGAGAGCAGACTGCCAGGTCTTTTCTCCCATGAAGCCACTGAGTGCGTTCAAACTGCCAACTTTCAGTTAGTAGCTGGGAGCTTAACCATTAGCGCCACCAGGGTTCTGTACGCATAGCCAGATCGGTCAGGAATTTAGAGGAGGTGTGTGGTGTGGGGGAAGGGGTTAGCAGCAGTGGGGTGTACGTCTCTTCCCACCAATTTTCAACCCACCTGCAAAACACACTGGCATTATGGATGATGTCATTTGTTTCTTCTTGTTTCTCTGTTTTCTAATTGTCTATAATAAGCATAGATTCCTTTTAAAATGAGATGTTACTTTGGTTTGTTTAAGAAAGAGAAAGAAGGTTCTCGGGCTGCATTTGAGTGGCTGTGCTGTTCTTTATTTTCTGCACCCTCCTCTTTCCCCAAATCGCAGGGCACATGACACACCTCTGATAAGACCTCTGCTAGGCAACAGTGATCACTGTGGGGTGGGAGGCGGGTACAACTGTGGACCAAAAAGGAGTCAGCCTCTCCTGCTTGGAGTGGACACTGGTCCCTGATAGTCTTTGACGATCTCAGCACTCTGGCCAGGTGCGAGGGCCACCTTTCTCCTTGTGTCTCGTCTCTCCTTCCCTTTCACCCTTTTGGGGAATCTTGGGCTGTCTCCTGACCCTTCACTTCACACATGTGGGTCATATCTCCCAGATTCCTCAAATCCAGGTTATAGCATACTCTGGAAACCCCTTCTCTCTACAGCTACTTCAGTTACTTTTAAAACATATACTACCTTGGTGCACTCTTCAAGTGGACTGAAGATACTTTTTTCTCATATTTTAGAGAAAAATACTAAAAAATAGTATTTGGCCAGCTAAAGCTTTTTAAACCACAATACAGTTGAAATACTGTCCTTTGCAATTTAAAAATACTGTAGCAAAAAAAAAAAAGACTTCTTTTTCAATCTTTTTATTTATCTTAAATGCTGATATCTGAAGCAGGCTCAGTTAGAAGATGGTGAGGAAAGAGGATAAAAATTGATGAAAAACTGGTGAAGTTCCAGGTTGGGGATGTTAACGTCACCTGCCCTTTATTACAATGTTGCTTGATATAAAAATGTTTGTTTTTTCTTATTCTTGACACAAGAGCTCTGTTCTATTCTTACACTTACTGGCTATGAAGAGTATATATGTATGAGGGTATGGATCCCCAACCACCCCTCCATACTCCCAGCTCATAGTGAGAAATGAGAGAAGGAAAGAGAAAAATAAATATTTCCATGGTGTTATAGACTGAATTGTGTACTCTCCCCCCCAAAATATATGTTGGAATCCTAATCTCTGTACTGTGGATGTAATCCTATTTGGGAATAGGGTTTTCTTTGTTATGTTAATGAGGCCATTATCAGTGTAGGGCGTGTGTTAAGCCAATCACTTCTGAGATATAAAAGAGCAGGTTAGGCACAGAAGCAAGCAAGTACAGATGGGGGAAGACAGATGCCATGCCACATGAAGATCACCAAGGAACCCAGGAAAAGAAGATGAAAGGAGATTAGGACCTTCCCCAAGAGCCCACAGAGAAAGAAAGCCTTCCTCTACAGCTGGTGCCCTGAATTTAGACTTCTAGGCTCCTAAACTGTGAGAAAATAAAATTTCTGTTCATTACAGCCATTTGTGGTATTTCTGTTACAGCAGCACTAGGAAACTAAGACAAATGGCTAACAGGAAACGTTGGAAAAAGAAAGGGGAAAGCGAAGAAGGGATTGAGCCTCACCCCGCTGGCAGTAAAGGATTGAGCAGCCTTTTGGGGGCAGACACTTACTTGTATGGTGGGAGGTGGCAGCACTTTCTGGAAGTTGTCTTTGAAGGAGTGAAGCTGGTTACCGGTCTGGTTTAGCACGTCTTCCACAAGCTTCCTGAAGTCGGGCTCAGAGACATGGCGGTGGGGCAGCTGGGTGGGGGACAGACGTTGTCAACAGAGTATTCTTTGGGAGGGAGGCGATGAAAACCCTGGCAGCACACATACTAGCCCCAAGTGTGTTAAAAAGCCCTTTGTTGTCATGGTCACCTATTGTTTTTGCCTGCCTACTGCCCCACTTTCCTTCAAGAAACTGTCCCTTGACTCCGACAGATACTTGTACATGAATATTCATCACAGCATTATTTGCAACAGCCAAAAAGTGGAAACAACTTAAATGTCCATCAACAGATGAATGGACAAACAAAATGTGGCGTATACATACAATGGACTATTCCTCAGCCATGAAGAGAAAAGTCCTGATACAAGCTATACCATAGATGAACCTTGAAAACATTACGCTGAGTGAATTAAGTCAGTCACAAAAGGACAAATATTGTATGATCCTTCTTACGTGAAATATCTAGAATAGACAAGTGTTGTTACAGATTGAATAGTGTCTTCTCAAAATGTCTGTCAGCTTGGTTAGGCCATGATTTCCAGTATTGGGTGATTGTCCACCATTTTGTGATCTGATGTGATTTTCCTGTGTTGTAAATCCTAATCGCTGCCTGTGGTTGATGAGGCAATATTAGGTTATGTTAAAGAGGATTAGGGTGGGATGCAACCCCCTTACTCAGGTCACAGCCCTGATCTGATGTAATGGGAGTTACCCTGGGGGTGTGGCCTGCATCACCTTTTATCTTACAAGAGATAAAAAGAGAGAGAAGGGAGCAGAGAGATAGGGACCTCCTACCACCAAGGATGAAGAGACAAAAGCAGAGCGTGTCCTTTGGACCCAGGATCCCTGTGCTGAGAAGCTCCTAGACGAGGGTAAGATTGACGACAAAGACCTTTCCGTAGAGCCAACAGAGAAAGAAGTCTTCCCCTGGAGCTGGCACCCTGAATTCAGACTCCTCGCCTTCTAGACTGTGAGAGAATATATTTCTTTTTGCTAAAGCCATCCACCTGTGATATTTCTGTTATATAGTGGCACTAGATAACTAAGACAAGTGTATAGAGATCAAAGTTGATTAGTGGTTACCAGGGACAGGAGGGAGGGAGAAAGGGAGAGTCATTGTCTAGGAAGTAGTATCAGTCAATGGTGATGGAAAATCTAGCAATGAATATGGGTAATGGTTGCTCATCATTATCAATGTAATTAATGTCACTGAACTGTACATGAAAAAATGTTGAATTGGCAGATTTTAGGTTATATATATTTTTACTACCACAATTTTTAAAAAAAAGAAAAGAAAGTGCCCTCTGTGGGGACCTACGGGGGTCCTCTATGGTGGTGTCCCGCAGGAGCTCTAGCCACAGGACAGTGGTCATGGAATCCCTTCCTCCTGTCCACAGTGGTTGGTCCAGGCATAGACAACGGACCCGAGCAAGGCCAGTCGGAATCCTCCCATCAGATTTAGTATATAAAGGCTGAGAACGAGAGGGTCACTCTTCCTTTGGATGATGAGTCGTGAAGGTAAGTGCTTGGAGCTGTCAGTAGCCATCTCTCCCACCATGTGGGAAGAAAGCCTGCCTGAGAATAAAGTGAACCCAGAGAGGCAGACAGAGCCAGGAGACGGAGTGGAAGTCCGAGCCCTGACAACATGTACTGAATGTAGCTGTGCTGGAGGCTTGATCCCCTCTGGGTCTCCCAGTCAATAAATTCTTCATGCTTAAGCTGCTGTGGTTTGGGTTTCTGTTACCTGTAACCCACAGAGTTCTGACTAATGCTCCGTCCTGAGACCCTGACTCTGTTAATCTCCTGCATTCTCATCAGGCAACCTAGGTGCAAGCAAGACCCCACAGCTAACAGAGACGTGTCCTCTGCTTGTTACCAAATTCATTGGTTTGTCACCAGACTCAAAAGCTCGGGTTGTGACATCTAGCCTTTCTACCCCCAGTATGCAGACAGGTTGGGTTTTCTACCATGGAGACCCTTCCCAGGCTCCATGGAGACTTGCACAGGTGAATGGACATGGGACACAGATGAGGCAGGCTGGCATCAATCCCTGACAGGCCCCAACGTCCAAACAGAGAATGGCGTCTGAATTCCCTCATTTTCTGCTTTTGTAAAGCTGACTTCCCCCTACTGGCATCCCATAACACCCCTCAAGCCCTACACATCCCAGCCTAAATACAAGCAGTCTGGCAGCCCTAGAGAGAAAACTAGAGGACCGAAGGACAGTGAAAAGATCATCTAATTAGATTTACCCTCCTACCTTCCAGAAAGATGCTGTCAGCTGCTGTCAAGTCGATTCCAACTTATGGCAACCCCATGTGTGCAGAGTAGAACTGCTCCGTAGGGCTTTCAAGGCTGTGAACTTTTGGAAGCAGATCACCAGGTCTGTCTTCCAAAGCACCTTGCATTGGGTTCAAATGGCCAACCTTTTAGCTAGTAGCTGAGTGCTTAACCGTTTGTACCACCCAGGGACTCCTCGGCAAAGATAAATGCTCCTTTTTGCAGGATGGTTCAGGTCTAATTCAATTCAAAGAGTGTCTGAGACAGAACTCTGTACTAAGTGCTGTTGAAGGCCAAGAAGAGGAAAGGCCACAGTGCCAGCCCTCCTCAAGGAGCAGAAACTCCTTCATCAGTCAGCCGAGCAGAAGGCAGGCTCTGGTAAGTGCTTAGAAGGATATTGTAAGGGCTGCTGTATTGAAGACAGGCAGATGGACTCGCCCTTTGGGGAGGGGAATTCTGAGGGCCTCATGGAGACTCAGTCATCTATCAGATACTTGGAGAGCTCCTGCTCTGCACTAGGCACTGTGAAAGGCGGGGGTAGGGGGGGACGCTGGAGAGGGACGTTCCAAGCAGAGGGAGGACCTGTGTGAAGGGAACGTGGGTACACTCAGACTGATTGTGCTGCAGGGAAGGGGCTGCAGCCTAGAGTGGGACTCCAGGGTGGGAAGATAGGGGATAAACTTTAGAGGAACGTTCATGCAAAAACTGGACAGGGAAGCTGAGACAGTTAAGAGGCAGCATGAAGCACAGGAAATAGATACAGGTGCCCTCTGGGGTGCGGTATGAAGAGTATTTAAATTGTTCCTAAGATCAGACCCGTAGGTCACTCAGCTCTGATGGTGGAATCAGAGCAAGAGAGGGAGAGAGAAAGATCTGGAAGCAGTCGGGTAGTCTTTCCTAGCTCAACCTCCATCCTCCGAATTCCAGAATCAAAGTTTGTGCTTGGAGGTTTGTCCAAGCCTCTGCAACCTACCATGCTTTCAGTCGGCAGCTCCCCTTAGAGCCACGGGCTGTGAGCACTGTGATTTGGAGTCCACACCCTGGAGTTGAACCGCCAGGGCTCAAATCTTACTATTAGCTGTGTGGCCTTGGGCAAGCTACTTAACCTCTCTGTGCCCTGGCTTCTGTATTGTTGAAATGAAGATAATAATAATAATGCCTACTTTGCAAGCCTGTGCTGAGGATTAAATGAGATAATGCATGGAAGGTACTCCAAACAGGTACAGAGGAAGCACTCACGAGGGGCTGGCTGTTAAAGTAGGAACAGTAGCAGGCTGTGACATTCCTGACTGTGTACAAGGGACCTTCTGTCTCCGTTACCAACTTCTATACACCCCAGAGATTGGCCCCAGGTCTGCTATTGTCCCACCTTCTCTGCTTCTGGGAACAGTCTGGAGCCCCAGTGCTATCCTTGCTTTATGGTCTGACTCCATTAATGAAGGGAGAATATGCATGAGAGAGATCCAGAAGGTCCCCGCTCCCTCCTTCTCAGCACCTGACGGCCTGTTGGAAGGCCTGAACTTGCTCCACTGCAGCCCCTGCAAACAGCTGGCAGAAGAGGCTGCAAGGTCTTGACTGACCATCAGCCAAAGGCGCCCCAGTACAAGAGGCCTTACCTGGGCCAAGCTGCACTCTGCCCTCTGCAGCACTTGCTTTGCAAAGTCCTGCTGTAGAGCCACGAACGTGCGCAGGATCTGGCCCAGCCACCGCAGTGTTAGCTGGTTAAACTGTGGGAGCTCAGCCACTAGCAGGGAGTTGAGCGCCTGGTATGTGTGCCGGGCCGCCTCCTCCTCGTAAGACACACTGCCCACTTCCAACAGCTTCTCTTCCACCCTCTCAAAGTCCAGCAGTTTGTCCAAACGTTTCTTGATCAGGTTCCGAGGGCCAGCAAGTACTCTGGCCAGGCTGCACAGTGGCCGCCATACCAGGCCTTCCAGCCGCTGCTTCTGTGGGGAGACGTGAGCTTGGGAGCCTTGAAAGGAGTAGGCAGGAGGTGGGGGCTGGGAGAAAGGGCTATGGAGGCAGGCAGGACCGGGTTCCAGTTCCACCCTCACCAACTAACTCTGACCTTTAGCATGTTATCTAACCTCTCTATGCCTCTTATCTTTGCCTCTGAAAAATGAGAACAATGCACATAAAATAAGCTTAGTAGAGTGCCTGGCACAGAGTGGGCATTCAATACATGCCAATTCTTAGTGTCATTATTGTGCAAAGAGTATAGAATGGTGGTCAACAGCATAGTCTTTGGGGCTCAGATCCCAGCATGCCATTGACCATCAGTATAGTCTGGGAGGTGACCCCCTCTGGGCCTCAAGCCTTCATCTGAGGAATGGGGCTATTAATAGTGTCTACCCCACAAGTCATGTTGTGAGGACTAAATGAGCTAAAGAGTATAAAGGGCTTAGCACAGTGTCTAGCAGACAGTGAGACTCAATAAAGGTTAAAACGAGCGGCCATCGAGTCGATTCTGACTCATGGTGACCCTTTATGTGTCAGAGTAGAACTGTGCTCCATAGGGTTTTCAATGGCTGATTTTTCAGAAGTAGATCGCCAGGCCTTTCTTCCAAGGCTCCTCTGGGTGGACTCGAACCTCAATCTTTTGGTTAGCAACCAAGTTCGTTAACCATTTGCGCCACCCAGGGACTCCCAATAAACGTTAGCTGGGGTTATTTTGATCAGCAAAATGCAATAGTAATAATCTCTGCCCTGCCAACTATCCAGGGCAGTTATGGATGTGATAATCAAGTAAGGTACATGCCTTCTAAGTATTATTCCTGTAGGCTCTGCCACCTGCCTAACAAAGAAAGGGGAATAGACATTCCACTTACAAACTCCAGGAAGGCCACAAACTGAAGCTCTCTTTCCAAGTGGCAGTACTGTGCCACAGGCCCGTCGGGGATGTCCAGATTGTATTCGTGCGGCCTGAAGCGGAGGAAAGTCTGGTCTCCGGCAAACGAGAGACATTCAATCACAGCCTGTCGTTACCCATGAATCTCCCCACACCATTCCATCCAAGTGGTTGCCCTGTCTCTCTGTACACCTACAGGGATGCATACGGCCAATTCTATCCTTGCACAACTTGGAAGATTGGAAAGCTCTTCCTTAGACTGAGCCAAAATCTTTCTCCCTATTCCAGACTTCACACATTTGCCTACCACCTTTTTGGTTTCTGATATATCCATATCCCATGTGTTCTATTACTATTTCTCTTTAAATCAACTAACTGTTCCTATTTAAATTTAAAAAATCCCTTTATATATATATGTGTGTGTGTGTTTGTGTGTGTGTGTTTTTGTTATGTGCCATTGAGTCAATTCCAACTCATAGTGACTCTATATGACAGAGTAGAACTGCCCCGTAGAGTTTCCTAGGCTTATGGGAATAGATCACCAGGTCTTTTCTCCCAAGGAGCCAATGGGTGGGTTCAAACCACTGACTTTTCTCTCTCTCTCCCTTCTTCCCTCCCCTCCCCCTCTCTCTCTATATTGTTCAGCCATAAAAAGGAATGAAGTTCTAATACCATAACATGATGTATAAACCTCGCAAACATATGCTAAGTGGAAGAAAAAAAAAGCAAATACAAACTCACTGCCATCGAGTTGATTCCGACTCATAGTGACCCTATAGGACAGAGCAGAACTGCCCCATAGGGTCTCCAAGGCTGTAAATCTTTACGGAAGCAGACTGCCACATCTTTCTCCCATGGAGTGGCTGGTGGGTTTGAACAACCGACTTTTTGGTTAGCAGCCAAGTGCTTTAACCACTGTACCACCAGGGCTCCTTAAGTGAAAGAAGCCAGACACAAAACGACAAATATTGTATAATCCCAAGTATATGAAATATCTAGAACAGGCAAATGCATACAGGCAGAAGTTTATTAGCGGTTACCATGGGCTGCAGAGGGAAGGGCGATGGGGATTTACTGCTTAATGGATACACAGCTTCTGTTTGGGGCGATGAAAAAGTTTTAGAAACAAATAGTGATGACGGTTGCACATCGTGACTATAATTAGTGCCACTGAATTGTACACTTAAAAATGGTTAAAATGGCAAACTTTATGTTACGTATATTTTACCACAATAAAAAATAAAAGGAAATAAGGAATGGAAGTTCTAATGGGGTGGGGGGGCGCACCTTTACGATGACACCACAAAGGGAAAACCAATAATAATCGCCATAAATAAATGTGTAGAAATAATTGCCATAAAAACAAAACAGTGTTATTAAATTCTGCCTGGATATCTTGCCTGCTGAAGACTCCTAGCCTCAGGCAAGACATAGCAGCAAAACAGGCTTTCACTTGACTGGGGCCGAGGATTAAAAAGAGAATAGTCGTCCAAATAGTCGTCCTATCCTGCAAAGCCAGACTTATCACTCTGGCCCTTTTGGTTTAATCTCCCAAAGCCCAATACTGGCACGCCCTGCCATTCTCTTTCATGACCTGGCTCTGAGCACTCCCCTTCTGCTCACGCGCCATAACGGTATCCCAGCTGTCCAGATCCTTCCTCTGGGGGCCCAGGAGGGAGCATGATCAAGCAGGGGGATCTCATCCACATGGAGGAGGGTGGAACGACGACCTCCCTCCTTCTGCACACTCCCATGAATGCCACCCGTTTCCCAAAGATGCCATTGTGGTCTCTGACCAAGCCAGTTTGCACAAATGTACATAGCTGAGAACAAAATCACATAAAGGGAACAGAGTGTTTGGAATGAGTCAGCATCAGTGACAGGAATGAAGGGGAGATTTTGGCACAAGGAAAGTGATGTGCTAGACGGACATGCAAACTGGTGGCTGACTTCAGTCTGTAGAGGTATGTTTCCTTGAGCCTGTATGATATTTAAATTTTAATTTAATTAGTTGTTCATATTTACATATCAGGAGGTTTCACCTAAAAGTCTGGATTTCCAGGTTGTATTTTTTTTTCCTTAACTTTAGAAGAGCCAGCCATACCAGGCCCACATTCCCACAGAGCAACAACTCACCAGAATGCAGTAGTGTCTGCCCCTTTAGATTTATTCATTTGTTCATTCATTCAAATTTCAAATATTATTACGTGTTTAATTCTACTGGAAAAGTCTCATAAGCAGCCTATTGTCTCATACACCTGCACACTTGACTCAATAATATCATCTGCCTGGCCTCTAGGGACCCGAGTTTGTGCCCCGTGCTCTAAGTGCTGGTCTGGCAGGGTCCCTCTGGAGGGATCTGACCACAGTGAATGTCGACACTGTGCAGTTGGAATCTTGACCCCTGAGAGCTCAGTGGTCTAATGTTCTATGGACAAAGGAGCAGTTGCCAGCAGATGACCTCATCTGACTGAATGACCTCATCCATTTGGTTCCTGTAGCTGCTGCCTTTGTCAGTTGGTCTGATGGGCCCCACATGCCTCCTGTCCGGGGAACCCAGACCCCAGACCCCACCCATCATTAACTCTGCAGGTCCTCACCTCCAGGTTACCCAGGTAGGCAGCCACGTTGTTCTTCAGCTCGGTCACACACAGCGACACCCAGTGGAACCTTTCTTCCAAGTCATCAAATTCCTTGTCTTCCGTCTGCAGATGGTCAGTTACACACGTGAGGGTGGAGAAGATCCACAAGAGGGCAGTGTATACCTGACGCCCACATTCTAAGTCTTCACTGGAGACCACCTTTCCACAGACACGCCCACCAGAGCCCCCTCCTTCAGTTAAGAGGCAGGATTTAAAAAAAAAGAAACTGCCATTGAGTTGATTCCAATTCACAGCGACCCTGTAGCAACCCTGTAGGACAGGGTAGAACTGCCCTGTGGGGTTTCCTAGGCTGTAATTTTTACAGAAGCAGACTGCCACGTCTTTCTCCCATGGAATGGCTGGTGGGTTTGAACCACTGACATTTTCGTTGGCAGCTGAGTGCTTTACCACTGTGCCACAAGGCTCCTAGAGGCAGGACAGCTTAGTAGTTTTGCATTCAGACACCTACACATATGGGTCCTGGTTCATTCACTTCCTAGCTGTGTGACCTTGGGCAAGTGTCTTACCCTCTCTAAGCCTCTATTTTCTCAGCTGCAAAATGGGGCTGATAAGAACACCTACTTCATTGTAAGGCTAATAAGAACAACTACTTCATTGTCTGGCTCAGAGTAAGCACTCAATCAACTTGAAATGTTACAGGTAGCTACTGGAGGACAGTTCCTTGCCTAGACCCAGAGACCAGCTCTCCTAGTCTATAAAGAAGCCCCAGAGAAAGAGTAGCACAAGACACAAGGGAGACGCCCTACCTTGGTTCTTCTGAAGCAGGCTGGAGTCCCAGCTCTGCCTCTTCCTGGCTGTGCGAAGTTAGGAAGTCACCTTACTCCCTAAGCCTCAATTTCCACATTTCAAAAGGAGTTTACACCCCCTGCCCTGGTGGTGCAAAGGTTAAGCACTTGGCTGCTAACCAAAAAGTCAGTGGTTTGAACCCACCAGCCGCTCTGTGGGAGAAAGATGTGGCAGTCTGCTTCCGTAAAGATCGCAGCCTTGGAAACCCTATGGGGCAGTTCTACTCTGTCCTACACGGTCGCTTTGAGTCGGAATCGACTCAATGGCAATGGGTTTTTGGACATCCCCCCTGCACAGGGCCCCAAGCCTATACTCACTCTGGGCACGAGCCCCGCCTCCTGCTTCAGCAGCTGGCTCAGCCGGGTGGTCTTCTTGGAGAGAGTGTGTGTGTTGATGCAGGCCAGTCGCTCCCGCAGGGTCCGCTGCTCCACCCTTGTGTACTTGGAGGCTGTGCAACAGAGAAGGAGGAGAGCATGGTGCCCAAAGCCCACCCAGGACAGCAAGCATCCCTGACAAGCTGCCCATGTACCTGCTCCAGCCCTCTGCTCCATCGTGATCACAGCCAATTAGAATGGGAGTACCATAGTAAAAGTAGAGGGCCCGGAGTCCTCAGACCAAGTCTGAGTCCTGGCTGAAGTCCTTCTTGTCTGCTTCACTTTGGCAAGGCACTACATCCTGGGGTTCAGTTTCCTCATCTGTAAAACGAAGCTAGCAACTTTGCAGGGTTGCTGGGAGGATCACACAAGATGATGGGTCTGAATGTACTTTCTGACAGGGGTCCAAGTGAGAGGTGATTTGCCTGAGGTCCCTCAGCCAATGTTAGCCTGGCCAGGCTGGGAACTTTACTTCCCAACTCCTAGCTCAGTGCTTTCAACTCATCTGTCAACCTGGATGGAGAAGCAAGTGGAGGAAATCCAAAGCTACCAGATGTAGTATGGAGTAGTGGTGAAGACCCCAGGCCTGAGTTTGAAACCTGGCTGTCACTTAGCAGCCCTATGGCGTGGAACAAATGATTTAAGCTCTTATTTTACCTGCCTTTGAAATGGGGCTACAGTGTCAACCTCAGAGGGCTGCTGCAAGGAACAAACAAGATAATGAATGAAAAAAACATAGCATAATTAGCCCTTAATAAATGCTAGCTAAATTATCTTTATATATTGTCTGAGTTGTGCAAAAGAGGTTTTCTCTACTTGGGACTGCTTCATTTTCCAAACCATTCTGTTTTAACCTGAGAGGCAGGGTTTCTCCTCTAGAGTGAAGCAGCCTTGTGATTTGGATGGACTTGATCTCACTTGGCTTAAGGCGTGGTTGCTGACTGATGCAAACAAATCCATATAATCCCATTCCCCTGGCCACAATGATTGGTTCAAAGAAGGGCACACAACTCAGGCCTAAGCCAATCAACACATGCATGACATTTTCCTAACCATGGTGACTGGAGAGGATGAACGTATGACTCAAGTATATAGCCCTATCAGAGTGAAGTTCAGACTTAATTCTGATGACTAAGGGGAGAGGGTGTGGTGTGCAGATGTGTCTTGGAACAGAAATAGCTATTTATTATGATGAAGGACGTCAGCTGAAGATGAAGCTGACGCACAGAAAAGATCAGAGCCAAGCGAATTATAGGGAATTACAGGGAAATGGAGTCAGCACTCTGATCAATCCCTACCGAAAGCCCACATTACCTGTGGACTTGTGGTTATACAAGCCACTACATTCCCTTTGTTGGTGAAGCCAGTTTGAGACGAGCTTCTGTAATTGGAAGTATTATCACGGAGGTAGTCCCTAAATGTCCACGTCCTTACCCACTTCCTTGCGCATCTTGTACTCATTGATGTTGGCGTTCACGTCCTGAAGGGCAGAGGTAGCCCTCTGAAGGAGAGGGTAGGCATTGGCCTCAGGGGGTGTGTTCTCCAGGATTTTCTGCAGCAGCAATGGGTACTTGGTGATCCTCTGCAGAGGGGTTACCAGTACGAAATCAAGACCTGAAGATCCGGCTTGCGGCCTGAGGGAGAAGGCTGGTGTTAGCAGGTAAAGCCCACCCTTCGAGGTACAAGGAGCTCTACCATTTAACTCACTGTGTGATCTCAGGCAAGTCACCCTCCCTCTGTGGTCCTCAGTTTCCTCATCTGTAATTTGAGAGAGCTAAATGTCAGATGGAGCCATGGTGGGGCAGTGGTTAAAGAGCTCAGGCTGCTAACCAAAGGGCTGGCAGTTCAAATCCACCAGCTGCTCCTTGGAAACCCTATGGGACAGTTCTACTCTGTCCTGTAGGGTCACTATGAGTTGGAATCGACTCAGTGGCAACTGTTTTTTTTTTTTTTTTTTAATGTTAGATGACTACCTGGGTGGTATAAACATTAAGTGCTCAACCACTAACTGAAAGGTTGGAGGTTCAAGTCCACTGAGAGATACTTCAGAAAGGTCACAGCCATTGAAAACCCTATGGAGCACAGTTCTACTCTGACATACATGATGTTGCTATGAGTCGAAATCAACTCAGTGGCAACTGGTTTTTGTTTCTGTGTTAAGATGTTAGATGGGGGGACACTGGTGGTTCCGTGGTAGAAGTCTTGCTTTCCATGCCGATTCAGGTTTGATTTCTGGCCAGTACACCTCACGTGCAGCCACCACCTCTCTGTCCGTGGAGACTTGTGTGTTGCTATGATGCCGAACAGGTTTCAGTGGAGCTTCAAGGCTAAGGTGGACTAGGAAGAAAAGCCAGGCAATCTACTTCCGATAATCAGCCAATGTAGGTCCAGTGGATCACAGTGTTAACCATTACACTGTGCATGGGGTCACCATGAGTCAGGGGCTGACTGGATAACAGTAACAAAAGATGTGAGATGGATACTGTCAGTTCTCACCTTACCCCTTGTCTGGGCCTTGGTTCCCCATCTATACCAAATCCAGTGGTCGGTTCCTGCCCTCGGTTTATTCAACATCTCAGCAGCAGACACAGCTGACCGCTCTTCTTTCTTGAAACACTTTCTTCTCTTGGCTCCTGAGACACCCTCCATCCTGTTTCCCCTCACACTCTCTAAGCCACTCTCTCAGCTCTCTCTGCTGGCCTCTCTCCAAGGCTGGAGCACCTGGGGCCTCCTCTCCTCCTGTCCCCTTACTCTCCTAGTGACCTCATTTAGTCTCAGGCTTTAAACACATCCTGAACCCAGACTCCACCCTCGGCTTCTGCCCAGAGCTTCAGACTCACATATTCAACTGTGTACTGGCATTTCCACTTGGATACATCCCCCACACAACTCTACACATTGGGCACCCATGCAACATTTCATTTAAACAAGTGGTTCTGATGACTTAAAGAAAAAAAAAAGAAGTTTAAAAAATCACAGAAACTTAATTTTTAGAGATGCATTTAAAGTATTTGGGGACAAAATGTTGTAATATTGGTAATTTCCTTTAAATAGTTTAGCCTAAAAATAGATGAAGCAAACATAACAAAATGCTGAGAGTTGTTACTTTTAGGTGATGAGTATGTGAGTGTTCATTATTCTATTTTTCCATAGGCTTAACATTTTTTATTAAAAAGAGTTAAAAAAAAAAAATCTAATGGTGGTGAGGTCCCTTCCAGGTGCACCATTTGATGCATTGATAACTATTTCTAGTGGCCTTCTTGATGACGCCTGGAATTTGCAGAGCGTTCCCCAAGTCAATGGCATCAGGGAAAAGGCTTCACTAGTCTGTCCTTGATGATGACTAGGAACCCTCAGGTTGGCCTTCCAAGAATCCCACAAGGGTCTGTCAAATGCCCAAGTATGCCTTCTCCAAGAAGACTCACAAATGCTGCTCCAGACCATTCTCTGGCCCCTCTCCTTTAGCCTCTTACTCTTCTTCCTAAGGAAAAATCTCCAGACCAAATGTCCAGGAAAGATCAGCCACGAGGCCAAGAAGAGACATAGCAGGTGGAGCCCCCTCAGGGCTGCAGGGGGTGGGAAGGAAAGGTGAGCAGCAGGATTACCTGGCAAGACCTGACTATGCTGACTCCAACTCATGGTGACCCCATGTGTGTCAGAGTACAGCCATGCCCCACAGGGTTTTCAGTGGCTGATTTTTCAGAAATAGATTGCCAGGTGGTTCTTCCAAGTTCCTCAGGATGGACTCGAACTTCTAACCTTTCGGTTAGCAGCCAAGTGTGCTAACCATTTACACCACCCGGGGGCTCCCCTTAAAAAACTAATGCTCAAGCTCGTGCGCGAACACTCTCTGTCTGTCTATAAACATATAGAAGAACATTTGGAAGGAAAATGTTAACTACTGAAGGAGGGATGGGGAAATAGGAAGTCGAGGGGGGCAGACTTTTTACTTTAATACTTGTGTATTGTTTGGATTTTCTGTTTTTCAGTGAGCATGTATCAATTTTATATTTAAAACAAACAAAAATAGCCATTGAACTGTAAACTTTCACCTAAAACACAATTTAAAAAAAAAAAAAAAAGGCCAGTGAAGAAGAACAGGTTATTTGCCTTCTCCAAACACTGCGGCCTCTGCAGTCATTCTGGAATTGCAGGTGCTTTGCGCAGGATTGATCTGCTTCTGCAGGCGGCCTCTTCTACGTGTTATACCATTGGGGCTGTCCTTCCTAAGGCAGAGTTCCTGCTGGGCGGGGTGCCAAGGCCAAGCCTTTTATCCTTGGCCCTCTGGTGGGTTGCGTTGCCTAAGGGACAAGATAAAGGGAACACTCCACCCACTCACCACCCAAATAAAGGTTGGGAGCAGCATGCACTTTGGAATCACAAAGAATCTAATTGAATGGTGTCTTTTCTCCTAACCTTCAGTCAGCCAAACCCCAAGATCATAAGCACACAAAAGCCAAGATTACTGTTTCAAGAGGGAGGAGCTCAAAAACCAGGCTGACAGGAAGTGTGTCGTTTCTGGAGCAGAGTTAGACCTGAGGTTCCCACCGGGGGGGTTCTGGAAATGCATAGACTAGGAGATGCTACAGGCATCCAGTGGCTAGGAGCCAGGGGTGCTGCGGGTCCTGTGAAGACAGTCCTGCACTATGGAGAACCGTTCCCTGGCTCATGAACCTTTGAATATTCAGAGACTGAACGAATGCCTTAAGATGTGCTGCAATTTCAAGCACCGAGATGTGTTTTTCAGACACGTGAACTCCATCCAGTCACACGTCATGAAGCTGGGAATTATGACCTCATACTCATAAATAAGACCCAGGCCATCTACAAGAATATCACACTTAGCCTCCAGAATGTAATGTTATCCCTACTTCAGTTATGTTATTTCCTTCTTTCTCTTATCACATACAACAAAGTCAGGTTTGTATCATTTTTAAAAAACTCTGTTGCCTTCGAGTCGGTTTCGACTCCTAGCAACCCTATAGGACAGAGCAGAACTGCCCCATTGGGTTTCCAAGGAGTGGCTGATGCATTCAAACTGCCGACCTTTTTGGTGAGCAGCCAAACTCTTAACCACTATGCCACTGGGGCTCCTTGTTATCATTACTAGATGTCATTCTAGGTTACACACATTCTCTGCTTTTTCATTGTTCTGTACTTCTTGTACAGAATGGCTTCTGATTCTTCTTTCCTTGAATTCAAACTTATTCATTGTAAGTAGATGCAAGCATCCGACTGCTTCATGACATCTTCTAGTGCAGTTGTGCCCAAGCACTTGCACACTATAAACTACACTCCTTTTATTTTTCCTTTATAAAAGAATTGGACCATTATATTGATTTTTTTCAGTTATGTACATAAGGTTTGGAAATCCTGGTGGTGTAGTGGTTAAGAGTTTGGCTGCTAACCAAAAGGTCGGCAGTTCGAATCCACCAGGCGCTCCTTGGAAGCCTCATGGGGCAGTTCTACTCTTTCCTGTAGGGTCACTATGAGTCAGAATCAACTCGACAGCAAAGGGTTTGGTTTTTATATAAGGTTTTACATATATACACATATATGTACGTAAGTACATATGTGTGTATTTATACACGTACATACAGATTGAGATCGATCTCAGAATAATACATGTATTTAATATTTGTTATAAAAAGGGGCCATTAAGACCAATAAAGAGTCCCTGGGTGGTGCAAAGGTTAACACACTTGGCTGCTAACAAAAACACTGGTGGTTCGAGTCCACCATAAGGTGCCTCAGAAGAAAGGCCTGGTGATGGGGGGGGACTCAGCCATTGAAAATGCTATGGGATACAGTTCTACTCTGATACACATTGGGTCATCATGAGTCAGGATGGGCTCAAAGGCAGCTGCTTTGTGTTTCGGATTTTAGAGTTCAGAACTGACAAAGCTGAATTTTACCCTTGCTTTTGTTAAAGAATGAGCCCTGGTGGTGCAGTGGTTAAAAGCTTGGCTGCTAAGCAGTTCGAATCCACCAGCTGCTCCTTGGAAACCCTATGGGGCAGTTCCACGCTGTCCTATAGGGTCACTATGAGTCAGAATCATCTCTACAGTAATGGGTTGTTTTTGATTTGTTAAAGAAAATTCCTCACTCTTGAGTGTTCTGGAGCAGGTTTACTGTAACAAATGACTGCTGTTGTTGTTAGGTGTCGAGTTGGTTCTGACTCGTAGCGACCTTGTGCAGAACAGAACAAAACACTGCCTGGTCCTGTGCCATGCCCACAATCATTGCTATGCTTGAGCCCACTGTTGCAGCCACTGTGTCAATCCATCTCATTGAAGGTCTTGTCTTTTTTGCTGACCTTGTATTTTAACAAGCGTGATGTCCTCCAGGGACTGATCCCTCCTGACAACAAGTCCAAAGTATGTAAGACGTAGTCTTGCCATCCTTGCCTCTAAGGAGCATTCTGGTTGTACTTCTTCCAAGACAGATGTGTTCGTTCTTTTGGCGGTCCATGGTATATTCAATATTCTCCGCCAACACCACAACTCAAAGGTATCAACTCTTCTTCGGTCTTCCTTATTCATTGTCCAGTTTTCAAAGGCATATGATGTGATTGAAAACACCATGGCTTGGGTCAGGTGGACCTTAATCTCAAGGTGTCGTCTTTGCTTTTCAA